GGTACAATGACTGCTCCCATATGGCAGAAGAGGAAACGTCGTTCCTCAAGTCGTTCGCCCAAGTACACAGATAGTAGACCGAATTGAAATGCTGACCACTGCCCAACTCCACAGAGTTTTGCCTTTAAACCACTAGGCCAGGGGTTGGCCAACTTTTTCTGTATGGGACCAGATAGTAAGTATTTTAGGCTTTGTGTGCCCTAAAAATCTCTTGTCGCTTCAACTCTGCCTTTGTAGTGTGAAAACAGCCAGAGACAATACCTCAAACAAATGATGTGGCTGTGTCCCAATAAAACTTTATTTGTAAAAATAGGTGGCGTGTGGGATTTGGCCCATAGGCTGTAATTTTCAGATCCTGTACTAGACCATACTGCCTTGTGAGGGCACATCTATTAATGACGGAGAGAGACAGATACTCAGTCGTATGGTGATCCAGTTTTATAAGGGATCGGGGGCCAGAAATTGCACGAAAATGATGGATTGGTTGTATTCCTTTTGGGTGAAGCATCCTCCTGCTTTAGCTACAGAGGGTGATGGTCGTCATGGCTGGGTACAGTGGGATGTTAAGAGGCTCAGGGCCAGGAAAGACTTTATATTCTCTGTCAACTTTCTGGGAGATCTTGCACAAGGCTCTGGGCATCTGTCACTCATAATTCCATGGTGTGGATAATGGTCCTCATCACCTGCCTGTCTCTCTCCCCGGTGTCTTGGATTAGAGAGGTCTTGTCCGTGATGCCCTTGGACCATCACTGGGAGTCTGGAAGAGGGTAAACGAATTAAATGGCATTCATCATTTAGTTTGCTTGCAAATTAGGGAGTACTTTGGGGGTATAAGACCCTTTTTTGAATGTTTGCCGCGTAGAACCCAATTTTAAAGGAAAGGCGTTCTTGGTGACCTGCGTGAGACAATGTGGATTTAGGTGGCATGAATTTATGGATTACCTGTGTAGTGGTAGGCTTTAGGCAATGGAGTTATTAAAGAGGGTGAAACAGGTATTTATTTCAGTTTTTAATAAGTGTGCAGTGAGAGGGCTCCATAGCCCACCTCATTATATATCACTTCCACAAGAAAATTTAGGCTTCTCTGCTAAGCTGTGAGTCTTAGCAGTAGGGAGGATTTTTATAAATGTTTCCAAGTGAAATTTTGAAGTTAAAAGTTGAGTGGAGAAACCTCAGAGGGCGCAAAGGCTGCTGCTTGCATTTCAATGAAAGGGAGAGGAAATTCATTATAGGGGTTGAAGATGTGGTTTGCATGCTAAGACCTTTGTGGAAGAATGGGCCTCCCCAGAGGAGGTGGGAGGGAGGTTGTGGCTTGCCCTTGGTGACTAAGTTTTCTTGATTAAGCACAGATATTTCTTCTGATGCCCTCTACCCCCCCACTTTTTTTTTTTTTTTTTAACTTTGCAAGAAAATATATGGAACTGAAAATTTCAGCCTAGAGGATGTCTCAGAATCTTGGTGGGTTTTGTTGTTTGTTTTGTTCTGTTGCCAAAAATAATTACTTAAAAACTCAAGAAGTGTAACTACTTAATCTTAATTTGGGAATTGAAATTTAAGATATGATCACATCAGTTATAATGATAGAAGGGCTGGTATTTGGCAGAGACCTTCTGGGCGCTGGGCTAGGGCTTTATCTACACTGGGTCAGTACACTTAAATCATACTTAAAACAACGGCATTAGTCCTGCAGAGGAATATTCTTCTCGTTCTGCAGATGAGCACATTGAGGCATCGGGAAGTTCACTAACTCCGTCAGGGTTAAACTGCTAGAGAGTAGCAGAGCCAGAATTTAAATCTGCCTTCCTGATTCCAAAACCCATGCAAGGAGGCTGAGCAAGGGTCCTGGGTTTCTGGGACACAGGATTCTCAGTGCTCAGGCTAGAAACATCCTGGGCAAATGGGAGGATTTGGTCACCCTGCAAGGAAGGTGCTTTTTAACTCCCAGCACCAACGTGGTGTTCATTATCAGGATCAGTCAGGATCAGAGGAGTTTTCCTGTGTGATCGCCATATGTATGCACTGTAAGATCTCCGAGACCACAGATCCCGGGGTGGTCTTGGAGCCGAACAGGAAAGCTAGGAGACCAAGTTCTTTGGGATTCCCAGCTGAACATGGTCCCATTTATTGGCCCAGTTTGCATTGATGGGGCAAGAGGCATGATTCTTGGGATTGGTAGGATTTGTACTGTTTGACTCTTGCTGCAAAGTATTGCTACACTGTTGTGGTCACAGGTAGGCATAGCCTTGGGAAAGGCTGGGTCAGCTTTCGAGGATTTCATCCATCCCACCCGACCCCCTTCCAAACTTTCTCAGACCAGTCCTCGTGCCTCTGGGGACCTTAGATGATCACCAGAAATGGGGACCAGCGGGCAGAAAGCTTCTTCCTTCAAAGCCCGGGCTCCCACATGGATGTGGCTCTTTTCAAGCAAATTCTTTTGGCCTATGTCCAAATTCCAGAGGACACTGTGTACAACTTCTGGAGGACACTGTGTGCTTAAAAAATATTTTTAAAGAAAGGGAGTTGGCACACAGGACCACAGACTGCAGACTCTGTCGTTGCTTGAGGGAAAGCAGAAGTGATCATGAGAACATCGTATGTCTACATATGGTCAAGAGATTGATTGCTCTTTATTCAAAAAGGGAATCCATAGGAACATTCTGGGTTTTTTTTTTTAATCCTCCCTTTTAAAAAGTGTACTGACCCAGTTAATACCGTATTCTGTGGCACCTAGAAGCCCCCTGCAGTGACCGATCTGGAGAGGGCTGATCAAGAGAAGGCAGGCAGGTCATCGGATGGCCTTGCTGCCTGTGGGAGACTTCGTTCCCTGGAGGGAGCACAGCCCGGACAGAGGGGCGAGAGGCCGACCCGCGCCTTGTGCTGGTGATTGCTGCTACGTGGCAGTTGCTTGGGTGCTTGTTTGAGATTAGTTTCTAAGGCTTATTAATTAGATTCACACAGGGGACCTTGTAATCACTTAATTACTGAGGTGCACATTGCTTAACCGTGTCAAAAGATGCCTTGTCGTTTTTATTTCGCGTTTTGTTCAAGGGTCTCTGTGACTGTGTTACAAATGAAATATTCTTCCGGAATGCGGTATTTCCTCTGTGATTGGGTGTCTACTGTTTGGCAATCGGCATAAATAAGACACAAGCTCTCAAGCGCTTAGGATAGGGGAGGCTCTGGGAAATGAGGGCAGAGTGCAGGGGAGTGTAGCAGAGGAGGGGCGGGAGAAGGAGAGGCTGGGGAGCGTGGGGGGGCAGTAGCGGGTGCGGCAGGGCACGGAAAAGGGGGAGAGACACACACAGACTGAGAGACACGCAGCTAGAATCAGGTAGGCAGATAGAAGACAGACAGACAGACAGGCCGACCCGTAGGGGCGGGTTCTTTTCCTTATGATCCTCAAACATCCCTCATCCTCCCGATGACGCTTTTACCTGTTTTCTTCCTTTTGGCTTTAAAGTCCTGTGACTCAGCTGTGTTTGCGTGTGTGTAGATTCTTAAGGAAGTGGGTTCTGGAAAATTTGAGAGTCCGTATAAGGAATTAGAAGCCCAGTCTCTGACCCAGACCACACTGGGTTCAAATCCCAGCTCCGCCATCTGCTTGCTGGGTCCCCTGGGAAGTTATGTAATCTCGCTGTGCCTTCATTTCTTCTTGTTAAAATGGGGATAATAACTGTGTCCAGCTCTTAGAGGATTAGGGATGTGTACCCAGCGGTATTGGCCGTTGTCGCTACTGTGCTTGTAACATGATCTGGATGTCGTGGGACCAGTTTCCATTTGCAGGAATGTTCACAGAGCGTAATATATTTTTCCAGATACTGGAAAGGCTGCATGTTCCTGTCTGGGGCTTTTGGCATTGAACGTAATGCGCACGTGAGGAGAAGGTGTAGAGATCTAATATGCTGGGGGCCAGGGGTCACAGGGTCCAGTCCCAGAGCCGGCACAAGCCGGCAAACGTGATGAGTTTCTCTGGACCTGCTCTCAGATTAGACATTGAGATGGTAAACAAGGGGGTTTTAGGTCACAGCTGATAGAGTCCTCTTTTGGCTTGTGAGTCTTATGACCTGGTTATGATTTTACCTCTATGTGGAGGTTCTGTGGGTGTAAGATTCACGACAAGACTGGGGGTTGCTTGTATTAGTGCCCCTGGAAGAGAGAAATGTGTGCGCTGCATCATAAATAATAAATTTAGTGACGAGGAGGTTCTCTGGGAAATGAAAAAAGCCAGTTCTCCCATCAAAACCTAAGTGTCAGGGACTCCTCTTCACTGCAAAGGCCCTGGGGCCTGCCTGGGCCTCCAAGTGCCTTTAGATCTTTGCGGTTGTGGACGTGGGATCCCTGCTCCAAGCCTGGCTTCAAACCATTTCTAGCCTCTGCTGGGCATGTGGAGTCCTCTGGGTTCCGCAGATGTTCTTAGCGGTTTTGGAATTGGAACGTCCATAAATGTTGTTTCGAGGACTGGGAGAAGCCCGCTGAGAGACATAGTCGGGGACAGCTTAGAAGCCTCGTCCGTTACGCTGTCTGGGCCTTGTGTAAATGTTCCCTGCTGGTGTACAGAGAAAGGGAAGCCGGAGGGCCAGTGTGGCTGGTGGTTGTAATTGGAAAGTGTGCATGAACACTTGGCTTCTTCCTTCAGTTTGCTCTTGATATGCAGAGGCTCATGACTGTCTTTCTATAAGACCTCTGTATTTTAATATCACAGAGAACCGTCTTGTTGACTCAGCTGAAGTAATCTCCTGGTCCTTTGGGCTGTTGACCCATTGCTCGTCTTGAGATTTGACAAGTGATTTGTTCAGGGGAGACCTTCGTACAGCGACTCTTGAGTAAAACTAGTTCTTCATGGCCAACAAGCTGTCCCAGTTCACTTAGTCTTCTCACATGCCGGGAGCCAAGCCCTGTGGCCTCTCAGTGCCTTAGTGTCCCTCTGTCCTGTGGGTAACACCAGAGCCTCCCAGTCTGACTGGTGGTACTTACACTGATGCTGTTTTTCTCTCCTGCAGGTGCTCACATCATGCCGAGCCTTCCTTGTAACAGCACGGATCCCTACCAAGGTAAGTGTCACTGCATCTCCTCCACGTGCGCGCGTGCACACACACACACGCTCACTCTTCAGTGATGGGGGTTTTACGATTTAGGCTGTGGCCAGAGTGCTCTTAGCACACATATTTTCCTTCCTTCTCCCCAGAAAGCACCTCAGCGTTGTGATGACGAACAGTTTTTACTCCATCATTTCTCCTCTTCTTGTGTAAAAGCGTCCTGTGAAAAGTGGGGAAGCATTTTGTGCTCCCTGAGGCTCGCGGATTCCAGTCATTTTTCTCTCTCACCCAGGCATCAAGTCTAGCTCTTATTTCCCTCGGTCCAGGATTGGCAGATTTTTCTAAGGCTTTGACATGTGGGCAATAACCTTCATCGCTGTGAAGGGTGTGTTCTTGGTGGGAGAGTGTCTCAGGCATTCTGTGTGTACTCTGGGGTTGCCCATGAAAAAGACCACGACACCACTTTGTTCTTGAAAGGATCTGTTTAATTTTGCCAAGATACCAACCCACTGTTTGCTAGTCCAGGGCTCAGGGTGCCTCCTGCCTTTTTTCTTTCTGATTATACAAATGCTAAATTTTATGACGTTTCCCCCTGCCCCTTTTGGTAATGTAAAGTGAGTCTGTTTCTAATGTATCATAAATGAAATCAATTATTATGTGAACGGTGTTGGGCTATGTTGCCTTTATATTAAAACACCCCAAGGCAGGCTATAAGGAAGTGAATGAACCATTATCCCACTGGTGAAAAATTAATTGCAGAAGGAAATTTTATGAGCTTGAGAAACAGTCAAGTAGCCTATTGAGTAGAAGGCCCCTGAATAGTATGTTTCTCCTATTTAAAAATGTTCTGACGCGGAAGGGTGCCTTACCTCTTGGGCAGTCACCCACCTCTCTTCTGCTGGCTGATCCCATACTGTCCCCTCCCTTGCTCTGCCCCGAGTGAAGGTCTGGCTTTGTCCTATGATGTGTATCGTGTTCCACGTTGGCCTGGCTAGGGTGGTTTGGACATTGGTTCTGATTTCTGATATTGTTAGCATCACAAATAGAGAAAAACAGTTTTTCTTCTAAAGTGATCTGTGTTCATGTTTCCCCCTGGTTTTCATGTGCCACAGTACACCTTGGCTGAGATGCAAAACCCATGTCGATGACATTAATTTTCTGGGGGAGATAATTATATTTAAAACAGTACCGTACAATAGGTACTGATGATGGCATAGATGTCTTCTCTTGGGGCGCTGATTGAACATTTTCTCTTTTGTCTTTCTGTTGTTAAATATATCACATATGCAGTCAAATGTACAAAATAGGAAGGTACATCTCTGTGATGAATCACAAAGCAAATACCTCTGCAGTCACACCCACATGAAGAAATAGAACTTTGCTATCACCCCAGAAGGCCCCAGCTCTGTTTTGTGGGCAGGAATGGGTAATTATCAGATCGGGGACGGACCCACAGAGAAGCTGGGTTGAAAGATCGTCCCCCCCATCAGCCAGGCAGATGCGAGGATCTTCCACTGGTACACGGTTTAGTGGTGGAAAGAGCACAGTGCTTTGGGGAGCAGGGGTGTGGGGGGGCTGTGGGGGGAGGGAAACAGGTCGTAAGGTGGGTGGCGGAGGCTCAGGCTTCTGCCTGTGGAGTGGGGGGACATTTCTGCAGGACAGTCATGTGTCCATTTGCTTATTGCCTGTGGGCAGGGGACTTGATGGGGGGCAGGTAGAGATGGGGTGAGTGGGAGAGCGGTGGGGGGCTAGCAATAGTCTGGGTTAATTCCTTCCTTGCATCTGACCAATCACGATTATCTGTGGTGCTGCCTTAAAAGCATCCTCAGGTGTTCCTGCCTCGTCTTGCCCAGAGCCACTGCATCTTTCAGTCTGGCTCAGGGACGCCCCTCCTCACTCTTAGGAAAGCTGGGACGCCCAAAGAATCACGGATAAAGGGATTGTCCTTGCTTAGGGATCGCCCTTACTACAGGCTCTGTGTCTAGCTTCCGCCTAGTCCTAGTTCTTGTGACGCCTCTGTGCCTTTGCAGATTCTTTTTCTTCTGCCTGGACTTCCCTTTTTTGCCCCTTCTTTGCTTGCCAAACTTGAAAAGTCGTTTCTCAGAGCCTCGTTGAATGTCTCCATGCTTTCCTGCTCCCTGACACTTTGCTTCTCCCAGTGACAGCGCCTCGGTGCCGTGGAAGCATCTTAATTGACCTCCAGCTAACCTCACTCGGCCAAATTGATCACAGCTGCCCATGCCATGCCTGAGGGTGTGGACTTGTGCCACCTGCCTTTTCATAGCTCCTGGGTGGTGAGCGCCCCGACCTGTCCACACCTGCTCCCACCAGTTGAATGAGTGCCCACCGAGGGTCAGCGGTTTGTTTCCAAACCTATTCATAGCAGTTGTAATGATAACAGTACATTTATTTAATTCAAGGTATTCACATAGCAGTGAAATAGGCTGCAAAAGGAGAGAGTGTCTATGAAATACTGATTATTGATAAGGTGCATTATGTAAAAAGAAATTACTGTCTTGTTAAGGACCAGACAGTTGTTAAAGGCTGGGTGGTGGGGAGCCTAATAATTCAGCAAAACTATGCCCTCAAGTTGCTTTGCGAGTGTCTTCAAATTCTCCATTTTATTTATTATTTATTTTTAAAGATTTATGTATTTGAGAGAGAGAGTGGGGTGCGCATGGAAGGGCAGAGGGAGAGGGGGAGAGAGAGAATCACAAGCAGACTCCCCTCTGAGAATGGAGCCCAATGCGGGGCTCATTCCCATGACCCTGAGATCGTGACCCAAGCTGAAATCAAGAGTCAGACGCTCAACTGACTAAGCCACCCAGGCGCCCCCTCCCTCCATTTTAGAGAGACTTGAATTAGACGTTGGGTGCCCTGGATTTATGGTTGTGGCTCCCAGAGGAAATGCCATTGCAGGGCCAGCCAGTAGGTTCTTCTCAAAGAAGAAATGTGATCACTCTGTCAAAGGCTAGCAAATGAAATGATGTTTAGAAGTTTTAATTTGAACTGACTAAAGGTAGATATGTATACTTTTAAAAAATAATTTCCTGCTTGAGGTGACTTTTCAAAACCCAGCTAAGCATTGGTCTTGATAATAATAGTAGGTGAGAGGACTTCTACTCAAATAGAATGTTTAAAATGGGCCTCCAGTGCTGTGTTTGACTCTTGGAGGACAAGAGAGATGTGTCCTTCTTCTTTCCAGTTCCAATTCTGGAACATAGTAGGCCTTCCATATATCTCTGTGGGTTGACTTCCATATACAGTAGGATAGTAGGCCTTCCATATACATCTGTGGATTGACTAAGTGAATAATGAAAGAATAACTTTTCTACCTCTGGCCCTCAGTGCTATACATCAAGATATTTACCTGGACATTCAGGGGTTCTCTGTTCTACGGTTCATCCTACCAAATGTGTAGGGTACAACATAGCACCCAGGGGCACAACTAAGGGTCTTGTGCATTTGGTTCTGGGTGGGTGCTTTTCCCCTTACCTTTCTAGTTTGAAGGCGAAGAGGTCAAACTAACCTAACTCGGTCTCCTCTGACACGGAGTGCTCTGGGATTGTTTGCTGTAGTCGGATGAAAGACTGCAAAATTGGGGGAAAGATTAGTGGCTATTGTCCAGGAAAAATAGGAAGAGTGTGGGACTGGAGATATTTTGAAGAAGAAAAAAATGCTGATTATGGGAGAAAGAAAAGATCACTTATTAAAATGGGAAGGAAATAAATCAATTATCTGCACACACAGAGAAGATTTTTACTTCACTATGTGTGTTTCATTTAACCACAGTTTAAAATTCCTACGTGTTGTGTTTTTCAAAATCCATTCAAAATATGCATTTTTATGAAAGATGGGGAAGGAATGATGATGATTCCAGTAAGTGGCCAGAGTGTAACCCAAAGAGGTAAGGGTTTAGAGAGAAGGGAAAACCAACATTGCCATCTTGATGGGACTTCCTGGAGCAAAATTTTGAAATAGGAGAAAAAAGTATATTTATATGGCTCACCTTATACATTCATTTCTCAGTGAATAAATGGAGTATTCATTCAGACTTTCCACTGAGTTTGTCTCTGGATGAAATTTAAAAAGTCAGACTTGTAGCTTCCTTTCAACCCTTTAGTAAAGTGAAGAATACTTTTCTGAAAGACGATAAATCAAGGTCATATCTTAAGTGCACCAATGGAGACTAGTTAAGCTAGCCTGCCTTCCGAAGATGCCCAGTACCTTGTTTTGCTCTCAGACTGTTTCTAATTGTAGCATTTTCACCTTAAATTATAGGTTTTGTCACCCTCATTCATTTCAGGTCTTTATTTCAATTGCAGCTCGAGTTAACCTTCAGCTACTTGGAGATTCACGGTGTCATCTGCAACAAGTCAGCTCAGGTGCGTGCCAGCAACAGCCTCCTGTGTGTCATTAACTGCGGGGTCCTCACCTTTTCCTGAGTTTCTGAAACTGGGAAACTCCTATTTTGGGTTCACTATTGATATTCTCTTGAGATAATGTAGAAAAACAAGATTAGGGAAAATGGAAGTTTCTGAATGTCAGACTGAACAGGGGGCTAGGTGGGTAGGGGCTGGGGATGTGTTCTCATAAGGAAAACACATTCTCTGGAACTCAGTCTGAGAAGAACTAATGAGCTCTTATGTGAGCCGGTGATGTAAACGTGAGATTTTGTACAACAAGGTTTAGGGTTAAAATCTCATAGCTACTATACAGTACTATCTAAGTTCTTTCTGGGAATATAGTGATACGTGAATATTTTGGTGTTAATAAAATAGAGATTTTTATTTTTTATTTTATTTTTAAATTTTTTTAAGATTTATTATTTTAGAGAGAGAGAGAGAGAGAGAGAGAGCGCACGCGTGGTGGGAAGACATAGAGGGAGAGGGAGAGGGAGAGAGAATCTCAAGCAGATTCCCCACTGAGTGCAGAACCTGATGTGGGGCTTGAGGTGGCTCTCCATGCAGGGCTCGATCTCACAACCCTGAGATCATGACCTGAGCCGAAATCAAGAGTTGGATGCCTAACTGACTGAGCCACCCAGGTGTCCCTAAGATGTAGATTTTTAAAAACAGCTTTATTGAGCTATAATAAGTACTATGCAGCAAACTGAAGTGTACAGTGTGATTAAGTTTTGACATATGTGTACCCATGAAACCATTACCACAATCGAGATACCAGATTTATTCCTCATCCCATGGTCTCCTCATATCCCCCAGTAGACACTCCCTCTTGCTTCTCCTCCTCTGCAGGCATCTGCGGTCATCTTCTCCCTGCAGTTGGAGATTAGCTTGCATTTTCTAAAACTTTGTGTGAATGGAATCATATGGTGTGTGTACTCTTTATTGGCTACCTTCTTTCCATCAGTATAATTGTTTTGGGATCGATTCATTTTGTTGCGTGTATCAGTGTTTCCTTTTCATTGTTGAGTAGTGTTCCATTGTGTTCCGTTGTCTCCCGTTGTGTCCCCTTGTGTTCCACTGTGTTTTGTTGTGTTTCTGTTGTGTCCTGTTGTGTTCCTCTGTGTTCTGTTGTGTCCCCTGTGTTCTGTTGTGTTACGTTGTGTTGCATTGTGTCCTGCTGTGTCCTGTTGTGTCCTCCTGTGTTTTGTTGTGTTCCAGTGTGTGGCTGTATCACAGCTGCTTTATCCATTCACCTGGTGAGGGAAAGTTAGTTGTTCATGTTGTTGACAAGACAAGCAAAGCTATTGTGAACATTTATGTGTATAGATCTTTGCTTGGATAGAGGCTTTCATTTCCCATGGGTAGATATCTCGGAATGGAATGGCTGAATTGTATGGTAGGAACACTTCTTAAGAAGTTGCTAAACTGTTTTCCAGAGTGGTTGTACCATCTGACATTGCCATGAACAAGCAGTGCATGAGGGTCCCAGTTCCTCCACTGACATGGTCAGTGTGTTTAATTTTAGCCATTCTGGAAAGTATGTGATGCTTTCTCATTGTGGTGGTTTTAATTTGCATTTTTCCAATGACTAAAGATATTGAGTATCTTTTTTATCTGCTTGTCTGCCATCATCTGTCTCCCTTGTTCAAGTGTTGGTTAAAATGTTTTGCCATTTTTTAAATTGAGTTGTTTTGTTATTGTTTTAAGAGTTCTTTGTATATTCTGAATACAAATCCCTTTGATACACGATTTACACATATTTTTTTCTCAGTCTGTGGGCTGTCATTTCATTTTCTTTGCAGTGCTTTTGAAAGGGCACAAGTTTTAAATTTTAATGATGTTCAATTTGTCAGGTTTTTTTTTTTTTTTTTGTGGATCATGCTGGTGTCATATTGAATAAATCTTTGCTCAACCCGAGGTCACAGAATATTCTATAGCTTTTGGAAGTGTTACAACTTTACATTATACATTTAGCTCTATGATCCACTTTGAAGTAGTTTCTGTATATAAAGCAATATATGGATCAGTTGGGGTTTTTTTGTTGTTTTTTTGGGTGTGGTTGTTTGTGTTTTTTGGGGGGGTGTAGGTTTTTTTTTGTCTTTTTTTGCATATGTATAGCATATCCACCTGTTTGAAAGACTGAACTGGCTTTCACTTTTGTTGGAGATCAATTGTTCACACAAGTGTTGGTCCATTTCTGGACTGAAGTCCAGAAATGTGGTGTTTGTCTGTCTTTATGCCACTACCATACTGTCTTGATTACTATAGCTTTATATAAGACTCGAAATCAGATAGTATTAGTCTTCCAAATTTGTTCTTCTTTATCAAAGTTGTTCAGTAATCCTGGGTTCTTTACAATTCCATATGAATTTTAGACTCAGCTCAGTTTCTACAGAAAAGGCTGCTGCTATTTTGATTGGTATTATATTGAATCTATAAATCGATTTGGGGAGAATTGACATCTTAACAGTTTGGAGTCCCTGACCCAAGAAAACCGTGTATTTCTACACGTATTTAGGTCTTCTTTAATTTCTCTCAGCAGTGTTTTGTTGTAGCTTTCAGCATACAGATCTTACACATCTTTTGTTGGATTTATTCCCAAGTATTCTGTATTTTTTGATGCTATTATAAATGGTATTGTTTTATTTTATTTTTTTTTAAAGATTTTATTTATTTGAGAGAGAGAATGAGAGAGAGAGACCACATGAGAGGGGGGAGGGTCAGAGGAGGAAGCCGACTCCCTGCTGAGCAGGGAGCCCGATGCGGGACTCGATCCCGGGACTCCAGGATCATGACCTGAGCCGAAGGCAGTCGTTTAACCAACTGAGCCACCCAGGCGCCCCAATGGTATTGTTTTAAATTCCAGTTCTTAATTATTTCTTGCTGGCATATAGACACAGTGGACTTTTGCATATTAAACTTGCATCCTGACAACTCACCTATTAGTTCTAGTAGCTTTTAAAAACGAATTTCATCGTTTTCTACATAGACGATTGTGTTGTTTGTGAATAAAGACAATTTCACTTCTTCCTTTCCCAGCATTAATATCTTTTATTTCTTTTTCTTGCCTTATTGCTGTTGGGTCTCCCACATTCCTGCATGCTTGCTGGGTATGCCGAGACTTCATTGCTGTGACTGCTCTTTCCACAGGCTGCTTCCCAGGGTTATACTTGCCGTGAGCATCCGTGTGAGATGGTGGCATGTTCCCTTATGAACAGAGAGCGGGCTTGCTTATCATTTACTCTGAAAATAGATTACCCACGTTCAACGGTTCCTTTCCTGTAAGCAACCCCCTGTGTGTGCAGACATCTCTGAGCCCTCTGTGTCACCCTGTGGGGCTTTGGGCTTTGGGGTAAGGGGGAATCACACGGTGCCCCCTTTGCTGTGCCATGAATAATCAAGTCCTTTCTGTCTGACCCAGGACTCTCCTGTGTCCTGCCAGCATTCATGAAATAGCAACAGGCTAACTTACTCACTTCTAGGTGGGGTAAAATCAGATCTCAGCACCTGACAACTGTCCCCGCTAACACTTCCAGATCAGTGCTGAATAGACATCCTTGTTCCCTCCCCGGTCTTGGAAGGAAAGTACCGTTCTTTTTCCACAAGTGTGATGTTAGCGGTAGGTTTTTCACTGATGCCCTTTATCTGGTTGACGAATTTCTCTTCTGTTCCAAGTTGGCTGGGAGGCTTTCTCAGGAATTAGTGTTGTGTTTTGTCAAATGTTTTTTCTCTATTACTGTGTGGGTTTTTTTTTTTTTTTTTTCTTTTTAGTTTGTTAACAAGGTGAATTATATTGATTGACTTTCAGGTATTAATTCAAGCTTTTATTCCTGGGATTGACCCTCCTTGGTCATGTTGTATTATCCATTTTTGTATATTGTTGGATTCTAGTTGTTAAAAGTTTGTGAAGAGTCTTTGCATCTATGTTAATGACAGTTACTGACTATACTTTTCTCTTTTTAAAAAAGTTTTTGTCGCTTTCTGTGTTGGAGTGATCATGGACTCATAGAATTAGTCCTTGCTCTTTGGTTTTTTAGAAAAATTCAGAATAACCAACTCTTTAAATGTTCAGTTGAATTGACCCATGATGTCATCAGGGCCTGGAGTTTCTTCTTCAGGAAGGTTTTAACCTACAAGTTCTTATTTCTTTCATAGATATGGATGCGTTTATGTGTTTCTCCTTGAGTGAGCTGTGGTAGTTTGTGTCTTTTAAGAAATCTACCCGTTTCGTCTCAGTTGTCACATTTACTGATATAAAGTTGTTCATAGTATCCCCTTGTTATGCTTTAAATATCTGTAGGATATCATTCCTGTTAGTGATCATTTAGTCCTTCTCTCCCTGCCTCTCCCTGCCCTCCAGTCTGATTAGAGCTTTATCACTTCTGTTGATCTTCTCCAAAAACTTGCTTTTAGTTTTGTTGATTTTCTCTATTGATTTGATTGGTTTTGTTTCCTATTTCCTTGATTCTTATTATGATCTTCATTGTTTCCTTCATTCTTTTAGTTTTTAAAACTACGAAGAATACGTGTGTTTGTGTATGCACACGCATGTGTGTGTAGTTTGTTGACAACATTCCTAAAAGTTGTGAGAATTGTCACTTATGTTGATCAAGATTACATACAAATCCTTGGAATTTTTCCATAGTTCATCTGAGAGCAATGTTTTATCCTGTGTGTTTAGCATTCTTTAGAAACTGGAGTTTGGAAGAAAAATTACAGCACCATATGTTTGCCCAAATGGCAGACATATGCAGGAGTGAATGATTACTCACGAATGACGACATAAGCAGGGCCTTCTTGACGGTCTGAATTCGAGGATGTTTATGTTTATGAGGTCGGGGTTGTGATCGAGCAGAAGGGCTCTACTGAAATGTTAATGCCAGCATTATATTCGAAGTATGATTTGATGTGGGATTTAAGTATGAGAAAGGCTGTTGATACAGCAAGACTAATTTCCCCATATAGCTGCTGGGACTCGTCCCGTCTAGGGACACTGTAGTCCCGTCCCTTCTGTCTGCCTGGCATTCAGAGGAACTCAAGTGGTATCCGGCTGTCCACCTCGGCCCGTGGGGCTATTGTCCCAGTGAGAACCGGAGGAGGGGCTCAACAGCATCGCTTCAGCTTAGTGTGGACCTTGGAGATGAAGGTACAGCAAGATGATGGTGCAATTTCCACAGAGGGGCCCGTGATGCCGGGCGCTTTGCAGGACTTAAATTCTGACGTTTCAGAAATTTTCTGTGGTGCTGTGTAAAAACACTGATACCTTCTGCAGTACCCCCCCCCCCCCGCACGCACGCACACACGCACGTGCACACAGCGCAGTTAGGACTCAGTGTGTCTGGGGTGGGCATTTGATTCTGTCGTATTCTAGAGGCTGAGAAAAAGTAACCTGGGTAACCTCAGGAACTTTGACATCTGGTTTCTCCAGTGTTCTCTGATGTGAAATCATAAGGATGATAGTGTCTGCCCGTGACGCTCACGGTCCACCCTTGATTAAGACATGCTTTTCCTTTTTTTTCCCCCCGTTCTTTTCTAATGTTCTCTGGGATTGAGTCACTTTTTTTTTTTTAAAGATTTTATTTATTTATTTGAGAGAGAATGAGAGCGAGAGAGAGCATGAGAAGGGGGAGGGTCAGAGGGAGAAGCAGACTCCCCGCTGAGTAAGGAGCCTGATGCGGGACTCGATCCCAGGGACTCCAGGATCATGACCTGAGCCGAAGGCAGCTGCTTAACCAACTGAGCCACCCAGGCGCCCACACTGATTCACTTTTTATCACTATTTAATTAGAGCTTTGTCAGTTCAGATCACCTGTCTGGGACATTCACATTTCCTCGTGTGTGAGTGAGAGGGGTGTGTGTGTTACCAAGTTAGTGAAATGTGACCTTTCCTACTGCTCTTTTCCTCTTCCTTTTGGGAATGTGGGAGACCTTTATCTTATTTTCCAAATCTCATTGCCATAGCACTTTCTGGCGTCCAGGTTCTGTGGAAATTCTGTTGCCTGTTCATGGTCAATATACTGAGACCAACCGTTACATAGTTTTATAGTTACAGAATTTTTGGACTATTTCTTGTACAACTGAAACACCTATTTTTTTTTTTTTTTTTTTTTTTTTTTAACTATAAGGTTAACTGTTTGCTATGTCATGGGATGATTTTGGCAAACCACCCATGGCTGTTTCTGCTAGAAGAACGAAAAACACTTTACCAATCTGTTGACTGGCATTTATTTAAAAGTGCTTAAATGTTTAGCCAGGTTGTCCTACCTTAGAAAATGGAGGCAGGTGGGATTGGAAACTCGAATCTTAAGTAAGATACTGCTGATTATTACTTTATTTTGATTATTTTATATTTTATTTAATTATTATTTTATTTAAATAAGATACTGCTGATTCTTATTTTAAATGTGTACTGGAGGTTGTGATTATGTCCTGCTAGGTGGCTAAGCCAGAATTGTTCCAAGCATTCAGTTTTTCCCCCGCTGAACTAGGAGGGACAGAGGTATTTGAAAGGGAGTTCTTTGTCCTGGTGAAATGGTTTGCTGTGTTAGTGTCCCCTCTATCTCTCTGTGGCAATCTTTCCATCAGCCCAAGGTGGTGACATATTTTGCAGGGCTGTGCGCTGCCTTCATGTCAGCTTGAATCTGAAGGCCTCGTTTTTTCCCCTCGCCTGTCACCTTTTTTTCTTCCCTGTCATTCTATCAATCCTGTGCAATTAAGGATGATTAGGTGTTAAGACGAAGCAGAATTAGAATAAGCTAATTACTAATTACTCACACCCAAACTGTGAACTGAATAGATAGATGCACTAGATGTGAAGAAAGTATAAATGCCCTGTAGTGAAAAATAGAATTACCCACAGTGGGAATGTTGGGGGCGGGGTGTGGAGCACAGACACAATGGCTGCATCCCAGAGTATCTGGCTCTTTAAAACACACATGTGCACAGATGTGTGCATATGGGACATCGGAGCTTAGCTGCACAGAGCAGCTTTAATTTGCTGAAGATACTTTGTTGAGGTGTCTTGGGGTTGAACAGTAAATAGCCTCCAGATACAGCAATGCTTGCTGCCTTTTTGGGGAGAAATATTCCTTGGGCCACCTTCTAGAAGAGCAGTGCCTGAAAATTAGGATTAAATTTTTTTTTTTTTTTTTTTAATATGGAGAGCCAACTAACGGACACAGAGGTGATATGTATTGAGAGAGTCCTTTGGGGTGTTTGTGGAAAAGTAATATTTTAAGGTCTCAGATCATTTAAGTCTTTTTTTTATCTCATCATTTTGGCAAATAAATTGCATTACTTATCCTTTTTTTAAATAAAGATTTTATTTATTTATTTGAGAGAGAAAGAGAGCACAAGCAGGGGGAGCGGCAGGCAGAGGGAGAAGCAGGCTCCCCGCTGAGCAAGGAGCCCGATGTGGATGCGGGGCTCGATCCCAGGACCCTGGGATCATGACCTGAGCCGAAGGCAGATGCTTAGCCGACTGAGCCATCCAGGCACATGCATTGCTTTTCCTTTTGATGTTAACACTTTGAAAGACATGTGATTATTTTTAATTTAGCTAATTTTAGGACAGCGTAAAACAAATCCAAAAACTGCTTTGTTAACCTAATTGGCTAGTTGCACATTAAGTGTAGTATTCCCGCATCATATTTTTGTACAAGTTATGTACCAGCAGGAAGTAAATATGTGAGGCTATTCTGATGCAGTGAAAATCCAAAGGGATTGCATTTAACATGAATATTTTTGAGATCCAAGATAATGGTATTTTTTTTTTTTTAAGTGAGGTTGATTCTTTTTATTTGAAATGTGTCCATAAACAACCTGCTGCCCTTTGCAACCTGCTCCTTTTCTCAGGTTGACTTACACTTATTTACAGTACGAGCTCTATGACCTCAGTGTCAACATTTTTGGTGGTAAGCTTTGGACATTTCCCAGCAGTTAATTGTAATGATCCTTTGCCTAGTCCTGAACATTATGACCTTGTTCTCGTCATATAATCCTTTCCAAGAATTCTCTCTTTTTAGAGAAGTTGAAATGTTTATAAGCATTTGATTTTTCTTTTGTTGCCAGGCAAAAGGTTTTAACATTTCCTTGAAACGTCTCATAAGGGGTCTTGTTTTTAAAACATGTCAAAAAAAAAAAAAAAAAAAAGTAGTGATGAGATTGCCCTCAGCTGCTCACCGAAGGAGGTATGCTTACTTATTCCGGATAGTAGGGCTCTAACAGACTTGGTAAGACCACACCTTGAGACAAAACCTTGGTAAAAGGAGAAGTCATGTGTGAATGTGAATATCCTGTCTCCATCACATGGCCGGGGGGGTGGGGGTCCTGTTTGAATTTTGCCTTTACAAACACTTGTTTCAGTTTCTGGATGTTTCTGACAACTATTCCACCCTCTACCCAAATAGTTCCTCGAGTCTTAACTAAGGGTGTTATTTTAAGGAAGTGCTTCTTAAAAAGCTGGTATTGTATTGGTATAGGTCAGTGGGAGTATATCGTTTACATGACTTAAAACCCAAAAATCAAGGCACCGTACTGATTACTAAGCAGCGTCCAACCCGGTTCTTGCAGATGGTGGTGGAAACTGAGAAGTACAACATCTCCATGAAGATGGCATCGCCCGAGGACGTGAGCGAAGTGCTGGCCCACATCGGCACCTGCCTGCAGAGGATATTTCCTGGCCTCTCCCCAGTGTGAGTGCTCGGGGGGGAAGGGTGAGCAGAGCAGAGAACGTCCTCCTCAGAGTGGCGGATGGGAATGCGCCTTCCCCTCGTGCGCCCTTCTCTGCTTAAACATTTCGACAGCAAACTCTCACTCGGGCCCTTGCGTCTGACGTCTGAGGTTCTCCGCGGGGCTCTGCCTCGTTCTGTACTTCCAAGAGCTTCAGGCATGAAGGGTTTGGCTACTCTTTCACCTCTACTCCCAAGAGTGAAGCAGAAACCTTTTTGACATAACTTGCGATGTACCCTAGTGGGACTTCTCCTCATGGCTCTTAGTGGAACCAGGGGCTCAGTGCTTTTCAGGAAGGCATCGAGGACGCTATTCCTGAAGAGGGAGAGGCTTCATTTCCCTTTTTTTTTTCTCTTAGTTTTCTGAAACACACGTTAGGAATATTAGTAAGTTGTGTCTGTGCATGCCCTCATAATTCTTTGTTAAGCGCTTTTCATCAGGATTATGCGCTTGGGTAACCGAGTTTGTCCTTAGGGACTGTGTGGATTGTTGGAAGGGGGGGGGTTGGATTGGTGGAAGTAAAAAAGACAGGAAGATCCTATGTCAGAAAGCTCCCTAAATTAATAGTCCCTAGTGAAAATACCTTCCTGCTAGAAGGAGACGGTACAGGGACTGTAAAAACCCCTCTCCCGTTGCTCACCCTGTGCACGGAGGCCGCGAAGCCTCATGGGGACACGTAGAAGATGGGGAGCTGTGCGTCTTGCTTGACGGGAGCAGGAGGGAAATTTCGGGGACTTGCCCTTTATGACATGTTCCTTACAATGCTCTGCCTCTAAATTAAGAGGCAAAGCAGGAAAACCTAGCCTTGTGTCTTTCCAGCCTTTTGGGTGCCTGCCGGTGGTTCGGTGGAGATGGGGCTTCCTTACGGTCTCCGGCTTTCCGAGACCTGCTAGGTTCTTCTGACAGCTCTGCACGGGGCTGTGTTTTCTTCGCCTCCTGCCAGCATGGTGGGCTGGCCTGTGCCTTCTGGCTGTTCACCCAGTGCTTCCTCCTCTGCAGCCTTGGGCTCCTCGTGCTTGTCTGAGTGTCTGGCTAGCTGGTTGCAGAGGGAGCGGAGTGTCCCTGGCCTCATCCCGTGGCACAGAGGGGTCGAGTGGGGCTGTCCCCTAGCTCCTGCCTGCCTGGAATTTCCAGGTATGAAGCCTTAAAGGCAGGCTCCTGCGGCATGCAACCACACACACTCTCATGTGTGTGCGGGAGAGGTGCAGGTAGGCAGGGGTGCGGGATGAAGTGAGGCGTGATGAGGAGCAGTGAGGGGCAAATACCCAGAAGGAGAACATCCTTAAAGCCACCAGAGAACTATTTGGAGTGATCATGAGTTAGCACTCACTACAGCCCATTCTCCCTAAACGACGTTTAGTAAAGGGACTTTGTACGTACTGATGAGATCAGAAAATTGTTAAGCACAGCCTTATTTAGCAAGGGCCTATACGACCCTCGGAACAATACGTAGAATCTCTGCTTTCTTTAAAATGCAGTTTTATTTGCCTGATATTCTAGGAATTTGGAGGAAATTACCAGTTTTTGGTTTGAATTCTTCCATTTTTTTCCTTCCCAGAGAAAATGGTCAAAGAAGAGTATTTGCACTCTTCTCTTCCATTTAACTTTTTGTTAAAGGTTTGGGCAGCAAATATGAACCAAGCATTAAGTGATGAGCTCCATTTCCAGGGAGGCCATCACAACATAGATGTTAGTTTCTAAATCTAAGACCTCCACCTGAGCCTCATCTGCACTTCTGTCTCCTGGCTGCACAACGATGTCCCCAGGCACCTCACGTGCGGTGCGTCCCATCAACTTGGCAGGTTTCCCCCCAAAACCTGCCTGTGTTTGACACTGTATCTCAGTTAGTGGCTCATCATGCACACAGTGTCTTGTTCTTCACTCGCACATGTCAGACCCGTTTCATGCCTATCTCCTGGTCTGCTCCTCGTCTGGCCTGTCATTTCCACCGCCTTCATTCAAAGGGTGTCACGTTCCCCGGGCAGCATCGTCCTCACCTGTGTCTGTGTCTCCAGGCCTTCTTGCCGCGGGTCTTCTGTGCGGTCACCAGAATTACCCGGTTGCGCTATGCCGTGTCGGCTGGTGTAGCAAGACCACCGCCGTCTGGCCCCGCGATCCGGCCTCTTCTTGAGCACATCAGCCTCTCCTGTCCTCAGTGCTTTCATGCAGGCTGCTAATCCAGACACACTCCCACTCCAAAAGACCTAGCCCGGGTATCTAAAGAGTTTCTTTATTCATGGTTCCGTAGAACTTTGTGATCGCGTCCTATGCTAGCACGTATCTCGCTGTGTTATAGTTGTTTCTTGAAACACTTACGTGGTCAGTATTTACTGAGTTTCTACTATAGATGGCAGAGTACTAAGTGTTGGGGTCTTACATTGGGAAGTTGCATTACTTACACTGGGAAACAGACCCCCCAGAAATAAATCAGTGAAATAAGTGTAAACTTGAGTAAATGCTTGCAACTGATGTTTAGTGCAGGACTAACATAAAGAATAAAACTCCGTCTGCCGGGGCCTCCCAGTGGCCATGATACTTTGAACAGACCCTCGAGGGAGAGAAGGAGCCTGAAGAGGGCAGAGAACCTTTCCTTCTCAGGCCTCTGCTCGTGCTGCCTGGCCTGCCTGGACCAGGGTTGGTGTCTTAGAGGAGCGGAGAGAGAACCCACGCGGCTGGAGCATGGGAACGAGGAGAATGCAAGCAGGAGAGGGTAACTGGCGTGAGATGAGGCTGGGGGCGCAGGTGCAGGTCCGCGGACGTAGACCCTCCTGGGGAAGAGTTGGCCGCTCGGCACTAGCTCTCTGGGAAGCCGCTGTCGGCTGCAGGTGCGGATGTGACATGATTCCTGATGCGGTGTGTGAAGATTCTTTTTGCCGCTGGAGAGAGTGCAGTGGGAAGGGTAAGGGCAGGAGGGGAGAGCTGGTTAGAACGCGGGCAGGCATCCAGGGGAGGGGTGGCTGCAGCCGTGACGGTAGAGATAAGGGTGGGAGGTGGAAGATGGAGGATTTATTGTGGGTACAGGACCGGCTGATGCATTCGGCATATGGGTGACAGCAGTGAGGGGAGGGAGGACCAAGGATGACTCCTAGGTTTCTGGTTTAATAACTCAGCGACTCGTGACACTTTGCAGTGAGGTGGAGGGGGCCGAGGGTAGCTGTGGGGGCATGTTTTATTTGGGGGGAGAAACACCCCAACCATTCTGTTTTAGGCATGCTAAGCTGGAGATCTAGGCCACGTGAGGGAGGGGGTGTCAGATCGGCAGTTACGTACCTGGGGTTGGAGCTTGGGGGAGAGGTCCGTCCAGCTCTGGAGGTGTCGCAAATGTGGGAGTCGTTACTGTAGAGAGTCTTGCTTGCACGACTGTTCTGAGGTCATCCAGAGAGAGATGTGCACCTGAAAGAGAAAATGTCTTGAGAATGAGGACAAGCGTAAGAGGAAGAGTCCTGAAGGGAGTCGGGACAGGATTCCAGCGGAAGACCAGGGCCTGGGAGGATCCTCTGAAGCAGGGAGTGGATTTCTGCACAATGATCTGGGCGCTGACCAAGTGAGGGCAGAGGGCTGTCTGGGGAACTGGGCACGGTGAAGGGCAGTCCCAGGGTTGTGGTGCGGAGAGGCGGGCCGCCATGCCCGTGGAATGGACTCTGAAGGGAGGAAGCTGGTGTGGCACCTGCAGGAGACTTCTTAGAGACGTTTAGCTCTGAAGGGGAACTGGTAAATGGGAAGTAACTAAAGAGGTATGAGGAATTACAGGCGAATTTTGTTTGCATTCAGAGTGGGAGGTATTAAAGCACGCGGCTGTAACGAGGGGAATGCTCTAGTAGAGAGAGAGACTGTTGCTCGAGATCGTGGTAACAAATCCACAATATCCTTGAGAAGAGGGACACAGAGCCCACGACATACCTGAGCTTCCTTCTCGGCCAAGAGCTACTTGAGCCAAGGCCGTGTTTTTTATTCATCTTAAATCCCTAGTCCTTGGCACATAGTAGATACTCACTGAGGTTTCTCACGCTGACCGTGTGTCGAGTGCATCGTTGGGCAATGTGACGTGGGAGCCTGTGGAAGTTGGAAGACGTGGTCCGGCCTCCTGACTGTGGGCGCGTGGGCCCAGGTGACATGAAGCCGACGAGTGGGTGACTGGGCGTAAGGAGGAGGCGGACGTGTGCGGGCTTGCTGTGCGGAGCTCCACCTGGGAAGCAGGGAGAGGATTTGGAGGGGAGGGCAGGGAAGGCAGAGGCCGTCCAGATGAAGCCACCGACGTGCAAGAAGGCACAGATTCTAATGTAGAACTTGACTCGGCAGAGAATTTAAATAATGTAAACGTACTTGACTTTTTTATTTCGCTTTCCTACCCACCATGCACGGTTAGCTCATCAAAATAAACCTGTAATATTTTGTGACTTGCATGTTCTGTCTTTCCTCTTGAAGTTCCGTAGATTGTATTATGTGATTTTAGCCGGGGAAATGGGCAATTACGTTAGTGCTGGTTATCCACCAGGGAGGGTGGAGAGGTGGGTGGTCCTATCCTTTCTTCTCCATCCCTCGTGTGGCCTCGGGTTAAAGCGGTCAGTGAGGGAACAATTTCCTCGACGTAAATAATGGAGAACGTGCAGAATAAAATACGTCCCCAGTCATGTCACACATCCCACTCATAATAAGTTGAAGAATAGGAAACTATATTTGATATAACAAATATCAAATGTTATGTATGTATGTTAACTAACTGGAATTAAAATAAAGATGTAAAAAAAGAAACCATGTTTGGAATCCTCAGTCTGGTTTGAGTCATCTGTCTTATCAGGTATGTTACCTGAGCCTATGGTGGGGCCCTCGGGTACCCTGCTCTCATCTCCTCCCTTGCTCAGGGCTGGTAGGGATGGTGGATAGGGAAGTATCTGATGAGCGGGTATCAGGACCCAGGAGAATCTGGGGGACAAACACGGCCAGCGCAGGCCTCTGTTCAGAT